ACCCTTGACCGTCTCCACCAGTACCAGTCGTCCAGAGATGACCTAACTGCCCTCCAACAATGTGTTCGGACTGAATCCTGGCGTAATCTAACAGGCAGCATTAACCATCAGACTAACGTGGAAGCCATGCGGCACCTCATCAACAAAGTGGTCAAGAAAAAGTCCTCTAGTGCTCTTTACTACAGCCCAGCAGAGTACGCATAAGATCTTGTCGAAACATGGTCAGAACAATCCCAAGTCCGTTATCTCCCGGAGCACATTCAAGAGTCCTTCTCCACCCAGTCAAATCTACGCGCCCTCCGTCTCATGGCGGCGTTGCTGAAGGTCGATGGAGAGGATACGGTGGAGATAACCAAGGAGGAACTGCAGCGTGCCCTCATTCAGGGTAGGGCAACTGCCCCTGGTGATGACGGTGTTACCTACTTAGTTCTCCGTTTGCTCCAGAAAGTCCCCGGCAACCCCTTCCTCCTGCTCTGCAATCTCTGTCTTCGCACGGGGTATGTGCCCAATGCCTGTACCTCGAGCACAATAGAACCCATTCCAAAATGTGGCACTGCTAAATTCAGACCCATTTCCCTCACCTATTGCTTCAGCAAGGTGATGGAGCGTATTCTCCTTACCCGTCTCTGGTCTCATGTTTCGGCTGGAGGACAAACTCTCATCCAGCTTGTATGGTTTCCTACCACAACAGAGAACGCATCACTGTCTCATGGAACTCTATACTGTACTCGCCTCTCCCCCATGAGTGTTGTAGCCTTCATCGACCTCAAAAGCGCCTTTGATGTTGCAAATAGAATATATTATCTTTGATCAGCTAGTAGACTTCGGCGTTAAAGGTAATTTCTTAAGCTGTATTCGTGGATACCTCTGGAATAGAACCTCCCGTTTCTTCTTTAAGGGGGCGTGTAGCTTCACCAAGGACTTCAATCTTGGTACTCCACAGGGTGGTGTTCTTAGCCCCTTTCTTTTTAATGTTCTTATCCATCGCCTACTTTCCCTTTTTCCTGATCTTCCCGGTACCACAGTTACCTGTTACGCAGATGATATCTGCAATCACTCTGCGTCGCCGGAAGATCTTCAACACTTCCTCAACTCATTCTCAGCGTCGTCTTCTGCTTGTGGTCTCATCCTCTCCCCAGACAAGAGTAGGATCATCTCTCCTCCTAACCCGGGGACACTCCCAGAATTCACTGTGGGAGATAGTGTTATCCTTCCTTGTAAGCAGTACATCTACATGGGTGCACCCGTACGGATTACACCAGCTACACTTGTACGACAATGTGTCCATCCCTTTGTCCGGGACCTCAGCAATGTTGCCGGGATTTCTATCCTCGTAGCCAGAACTGTTTACATAATGTTTATCTGATCTGTTGTCGACTACTTTTCTCCTGCCCTACGTGAAGTCCCTCCAAATTCCCTAGATCCCCTTGAAAAGTTTCAAAACAAAGTCATGAGATTTATCCTAGGTTGTCCCACCTCCACCAGGATAGTCAACAGGCAAACTGAACTCAATCTTCCTTCCCTTGTTGAGAGAATATACGCTAAGGTCTCCTACTTCAGTGTCAAATGTCTTCACTCTCCCCACCTTGTCCCCCATTATTCTCTTGTCATTAGAACCTCCCTTGACCCAAATTCACCTCGGCCTCTACTTCGGCCAGGTGGCCTCACCCTCATTAAAATAATTTGTTCTATGCTTCAGGCCCTCGATATAAATGTACCCATAGCAGAGGTTGATCACGGTCCTCCACCCTGGAGGATTCCCTGTCCAGCAGTCACCTTTACTCACACAACAAAGGCGGGCCCTCCTCTAATTCAGAAACAATTAGCTCTGGGGACCATACACAGAGTTTCTATCTCAGTCCCTGCCGTACACCATCTATACAGTACACCATCTATACACCGACGGTTCCCTACAGGCATGCAGACGGGAGTGCGGGGTGCGCTCTCTTCTCACTGGATGTAGACCCACCAGCGGGAGGTTGGGTCAGCCGTAGACTTTCGAACTGGTCGAGCTAAGCCTACAATGAATTACTTGGACTCTTGGATGCAGTTGATCTCCTCCTTCAGAAGAGATTGAACGGTATAATCGTTTGTGATTCTCAATCTGCCCTCCAGGCGCTCTACTCCTCTAAGCCTTTATGCCTCCCTTTAATTCAACGGTTGTTACGTCAATTAGCTTTAGTCCATGATAATTCTCGTCTCATACATTTTTTGTGGGTTCCATCGCATTTTGGAATTACAAACAATGACACTGTTGACCATCTCGCGAAGAATGCCTGTGGACTGGCTCTCCTTGCTGCTAGGTATACACCCTCCTTCCTCTGCTACCAAAAGAGAATACGTTCAGCCGCTCTTCTCCCTACAGTCCATCTCAGGGATAGTGAACAGGCTGAGAGTATATCCATCCAACATTATGATCATTTCTTCCGTATCCACACAAGGACCGTCGACGTGGACTTATGGTATGCAGACATAATGTTGTCTCGGGTCGTATTAGGTGAGGATACAGACCTATCTGGCAAGTATCTGAGGCGGTGGATGACCAGCACTACTCTTCTTGTAAGCTCTGTAACTGTCCCAACGCTAACACCCATCAGCACTATTGCCTTGACCGACCCACTCTCAAGGACAACCTACCACAGGAAGAGTCACTAACCACTATATGTCACCACTTACTTAAACATAATAATCTAGATATAATTATTGTACGCTATCCACACTTAGGTAGGTGCAAAATTCCATTTTCCTCAGCTCACATCACTGTCTCCATATCACATGTCATAGCGTGTCCTGCGAGACACGAGTGCCACTGTGTTAGTGTCCGACCACATGATCTTGTGACTAGACTTGTTGCCCCTTGGGGTGTAATTAATTAATTAAATAATAAATAATAATACAAAATTATGTGATTTTTTTTTTATCGATGGGAGTGATAATTTCAAGTTCAGGTTCGTGGTGTTTATTTTCATAATAATTGCAGCGTATAATTTTCAACTAATGGTTCAAGATACAAGACATAAAGGACTTGTTGTCGTGTTATCACACGTTGCTGGGCCCTATAACTGATGGAGCGTTTTTCATGGTATTGTGTAGGAAGGTTTCACTCCAGCTAAAAATAAACAAATATTTCCTTAGTTTTGAAGAAAAGTTACAGAAAAAATCAGAGACCTTGACTTCTAATAACATATCTTAGAGACTGGTTAACACAAGTAAATAAAACGTGGTTAATGGATTGGATGGTCAGCATTTACCCTTTTGTTTAGTTTAATTAAAATTTATCTCCACATTTTCTTGCCTGTTCTGTTTACATTTGACGGTTACCTTTGGTGTACTTCCTCTGAAATTTCAGTGGCAAACAATTAACTCCATGAGAATCCGTACAGTCTCTTTAAGATTTTATGTTTACAGATTGATAAACACAGTCTGAAATACACGGGTAAATTGTTTACAATAAATGTCTCGCCTTCCGATTGCAGGGGAATAGTAATGCGGGCAGTGTGTTGCGGCGAAAATATACTATAAAGTCACCTCTGGTACTCGACGCAGTCAGCACTACTGTACGTATGACTGGCAACTGGAAGCCTAATCTTTTGTGTGTTGGTGGATATTGACAACCTAACCTGGATTTCTGCTTTTTTCTTTAATTTTCTGCATTTCTTTGTGTGATTGGTGATGGTTGAGTATGATGAAAAATGCACATTAAAGCCACGATATATACGGCAATGCAGATAACATCATTCATTCTCCACACACACGGTGAACTTACCTTCCATTAAGAAGAAAACTACTGATACTTGATTCGTGTCGCTGTATGTACTGCTGGTGCGACAGCTACAGGTTATATATAGATAAGAAAGAAAAAGCACTTAACAAGGTAACTGGGGTAACGATGAGAAATGTATAAGTGTCTGTGAGCATAAAGTTTGAACAATTAAGTGACTTGAAATAATGTAGAAAGTAGGGCATGAGAGTCAGAATGTAGGTCGACGGTGGAATTAATATTATTGGAACTTTGAATGTAAAAAGCAGCTGAAGATTAAATAGAGATGCTGTTAGCTGGACGTGAGGTTAAAGACTTTGAAAGTAAGAATCGAGTTATTCATAATATATTACACAATTAAATGTTTTTATCGATAAAGGTAAAGGAAACAAAAATATGGACCGATATAAGGCATATCGAAGGATGCGAAGCTGAGAGGGATTAAGTGAAGTAAGATGGACAGGTGTATTCTTGCAAACCAGAGGTTAAGTAGTAGTGTAAAGGGATATTGAAAAGTGTCAGATAGAGCTTTGTTAGTTAAGTTTAATGCTAAACACATGGACTTGATAATAATTCAGGTGTATGCACCAACAGATGATAATGAGGATGTTGTTTTAGAAATATTTTATTAAGATTTAAAGAAAACAAAAGACACCGAAAGATTTGATGAATTTATGATTAAAATGGGTGATTTTAACGAAAACGTTTGGTAAGGGAAAGTAGCACCAGAAGTAGGACCACGTGGGTTGGATAATAATAATGAGAAGAGAAATATTAATTGACTTTTGTAAGGAAAACAAATTAATAATTCCAAATACATGGGTTGAACATTACAACACCCTAGGCATCTCTCTACGGGCGTTTACCCCAGAACAATCTAAATAACACAGCCAGGAATCAAATAGAGTACATTTCAATTCAGGAAAGAGTCAGAAATTTAATAACCCAAACCAAGATTTATCCAGGAACAAATTGTGGGTTAGATCACATTCCAGAGACCAAAAAGTTTGAGAAGTATAACAAAGGTCCGTCTTTTCCTTCTGACTTTCCTGTTAATCTATTTCTGTGATGTTTCAACGGCAAATAAAGTGTATCAGTCCATTATTTGATATTTAGACATAATTATATCTACAATATATTCGAATCTGGACTTCGGAACCATATGAACTTTGGCCCAAATCTACTTTCAGGTCTTCCTGATGATTAATAAAAAATCAAATTCTGAATGAGGTGGTCTTACCTGCGGCACATCTGATCCCTGAAGACGATTTTGTTGTAACAAGACCCCAAATTCTCCCTGATTTACTCCTACAGATGGTGCAGAAGTCTGGAAGATTTGTGAGGAAGGATGACTTGCACCAACTTGAGGTCTAATCACTGCCTGGGGATTCAGCCTTGGAGCTGTTTTGGGTCGAGGGAGTTGCGGTGTTATTGGAAGTGGCACTCCAAATGAAGTTTGTGTCCCTGGCCGCCCAGAGCCTAGTAATGTAACTGGTCTTTGTGCAGATGTGGACTGCACTGTTTGTTGTGCCGGTTGAACCAGTTGACTTTGGGGTTGAGGAACAGATAATGTAGCGTGTTGCCTTTGTAATACCTGAGTCAGAGGTTGTTGCATTTGTGCTTGACCTTGTGAGCTCTGAGATATGTGAAGCTGAGGTTGTTGCATTTGTGCTTGGCCTTGTGAGCTCTGAGATATGAGAAGATGAGGTTGTTGCACTTGTGCTTGACCTTGTGAGCTCTGAGATATGTGAAGCTGAGGTTGTTGCACTTGTGCTTGACCTTTTGGGCTCTGAGACACTATACGTTGTTGTTGTAATGGTGCTTGAACTAGTGGTCTTTGAAATATGAGAAGTTGGGGTTGTTTCAACAGTGTTTGAATTAGTGGGCTTTGAGACACTATACGTTGTTGTTGTAATGGTGCTTGAACTCGTGGTCTTTGAAATATGAGAAGTTGGGGTTGTTTCAACAGTGCTTGAACTCGTGGTCTTTGAGATAATATACGTTGAGGTTGTTGAACTAGCGCTCGTGATTGTAATGTTCTCAGGCGTTGAAGTGTTTGTTCTGGTCCTTGTGATTGTCGTGTTTGAGATACAAAACGCTGAGGTTGTCGTACTGTTGCTCGTCCTTGTTGCGTTACCAGTCGTTGAGGCTGTTGTACTGGGACTTGTGATCGTAATGATTGAGATAACAGGCGTTGAACTTGTTCCAAGAGTAGCCGTGTTTGTGATGTTTGAGGCACCAGACGTTGAGATTGATCCCCTGGAAATGCAGTTTGTGAAATCTTGATCGACTGGGTCTGAGGCTGAGGCTGTTTTCCTTGTGCAATTATATGAAGCCCTTGAAATGATACCTGTGGTCTCACTTGAAGAATGTTCTGACCTCTAGACGTTTGCTGGGGAAAATGAGTTGCTTGTGTTTGTCCTTGTGTACCTAAAGGTACACGTTGACTTTGAGATACTAAATTTAGTTGCTGAAATGAGTTTTGGGGGTTATCTTGAGATTGGAATGCATTCTGATGAATTAAGAAAGTTGAAGGTTTGATAATTTGACCCGCATGGGCAGCTGGAATGCCACTAAAGGGAGATACTGGGAATCTGGCCGTCGACCTTTTCTGAGAGCCTTGAAATAGACCAAGAGAATCGTTGTTCAATACTACAGGAGCGGGCTGTTCTTGACTTGTGAGCCGCTGCGAAGAGTATAGGTGGAAAAATTGAGAATGAAAACTTGGTTGTCTAGAGGATACTATCTCAGAAAAGGAACTCTGTCCTCTATTGATGCTTGATCCATTTGACGGTTGTTCTTGAAGCTGAGTTTGTTGTGATCCTTTTAACCCAAGATTTGTTATTCTAACAGGACTATTAAGGATATAATTAACCTCTGAGTTTTGTACACCATTAATCTGAAGTTGTTGAAGCTGCAGGGGTGAACTAAAAATCTGTTGGTTCTGCCCCAACCCATGTCCGGGAACTTGTCTTTTTGAAAGACTGTCTAAAATGGGCGGGAGATCTTCATCATACTGTTGTTGTTCGTCTTGCCTCTTGATTCCTTCTTCTTGGGAGTTAATCATAGGCAACTTATCCTCCTGCTCTGTTGATTGTGTTGCTGCATTTTCAGGCGCCTCCCCGGATACCTGCCCGACCAGCGAAATAGCCTAAGGAAAGAGGAAAAACATGATTTGTACACAGAACTCCTAATATAAGTTATTACTTAAATTGTCTTTGTCCCTCTTTGTGATTGTGTACAAAGAAATGTAAAGTTGTGTGTAATTCAAGTCAAATGTGAATATAAAGCTAAATACTAGACGTCATGTCGTTGAACCTCAAGCAGAGCTGATGGCTAATATAGTTATTAGTGTAGGATACGCGCTTAAAACCTTTACTTCTGAAGAGCAGTAATATATTTTAACACCAAACACTGACGATAGAGTAGTCAGGTCACACACCTTGACTGCCGATTTGGTACAAATATCACAACTTGACTTTTTTCACATTCCTATAATAAATTTCATAAGAGAAAAAATCAAGCCTATGAAAACTGTCGAGAATATAGACTTCACTGGGTTTCCACATTCAACATTCCATGTCAAGTCTTTTATTCACAAATAAAGAAAAATACTTCAGCATCTTAAAAGGTAAACTCTGTTCCTACTCACTGAAGATCCGGCAAAGTACACCGCTGTGGTTAAGTAAGCAACATACATTGGTGTGGTTAAGTAAACAACATAAATTGGTGTAGTTAAGTAAACAACGCACACTGGTGTAGTTAAATAAACAGAAGTCACGTTTTCTTGACATAATTTTACCTGTCGCACTTGACGCAAACCGTTATCACAGCGTTCTCCTATCACAAAATTTTGCTGATCTTTTTCTAGTGGAACTCGGATCACCTCGAAGGCTATTCTCACTTGGTTTGGGATATGCTGTCTTAGCTTTGGTGGCGAGACGTCCGGCTTTAGGCCGGACAGTCCGGCTTTTGAGCACTCTGTCCTCCGTCCGGCGCTACCTCGAGCCGGACGTTAATTTGTCCTCCTTTTTGTTGTCTGACTAAAAAGAATTATATAAATTACCTTAGGTATACTTAAAACAGCGGGAACTGAAGGCCATAATAACCGTTAACGTCAACACTGCTGATGAGCCGAAGTGTACGACAGTACGAGTCAAGTGGAGAGTGGTTGACTTTTTTGTTCTTGCTTCAATTTGGTAAGCATATGCTGTTTCAGCAGGAGTAAAAATGAATATTCATTTCTTTCAATTCTTTACTTATACTGTATGAATGCATGTATGTAATATATACAGTGCGTTTCCAAAAAATTAAAATTTTAGAACAATTACCACAAAATAGCATTCATCACATGATAGTGATATTTGACAAATCAACAAATCTTCTAAGTATATTTTGTATATTTTTTACAACTTTATATATATTTTCAACTCATCATTAAACATGCTTAACTTAGGTTAAAAAATAGGTGTCGCAAAAAAAAGAAGAAAAATGTCCTCCTTTTTGGAAATTTGGAAATGGCCACCCGTGCGGTGGTAAGGTTCTGGGAAGGAAGGCAGGAGCTACCCGTGACTAGTGTTAACTTCAAACAAAAATGTTCAGAAATCACTATCAAAAGTAAAGTAGGATAATAATGATAGGTTAAAGATAAAATAATTTACTCGCAAATATGCTAATATTAGGGGTCTTCCAAGAAGCAAATATTTTGAAGTGGAGAATTGGGTAATTTGATATATTTTATTCCCGTCGAAGCGTTCAGAAATGCTTTTATTATAATTAAATCAGCAACAAAAACCATATCTACTGTATATCAACGATGTTTTCTGTAGAAATAAACGGTTAATAATCGCCGTCCATTTGTTTACAATTTGTTGCTAATGCTCCTCCCATTCATCCGCACTACCAATAGGAAGAGAGTATACATCGAAGCCAGTGTAAATTCATTCTCCTCTGGACTTAAGAACTGAACTGGTGAGAAAATTTTCTGGACCGATATAAAATTGAGCAGGAAATCTCTGCTAATCTACACAGGTTTAGTTATTTAACAACATACTCGTGTGCTTTTGTAGTTAAGTAAACAACATACACTGGTGTAGTTAAGTAAACAACATACACTGGTGTAGTTAAGTAAAAACATACACTGGTGTAGTCAAGTAAACAACTTACACTGGTGTAGTTAAGTAAACAACATACACTGGTGTAGTTAAGTAAACAACATACACTGGTGTAGTTAAGTAAACAACATACACTGGTGTAGTTAAGTAAACAACATACACTGGTGTATATAAATAAACAACATACACTGCTGTAGTTAAGTAAACAACATACACTGGCGTAGTTAAGTAAACAACATACACTGATGTAGTTAAGTAAACAACATACACTGGCGTAGTTAAGTAAACAACATACACTGGTGTATATAAGTAAGCAACGTACACTGGTGTATTTAAGTAAACAACATACACTGGTGTATATAAATAAACAACATACACTGCTGTAGTTAAGTAAACAACATACACTGGAGTAGTTAACTAAACAACATACACTGCTGTAGTTAAGTAAACAACATACACTGGCGTAGTTAAGTAAACAACATACACTGATGTAGTTAAGTAAACAACATACACTGGTGTATATAAATAAACAACATACACTGCTGTAGTTAAGTAAACAACATACACTGGCGTAGTTAAGTAAACAACATACACTAATGTAGTTAAGTAAACAACATACACTGGCGTAGTTAAGTAAACAACATACACTGGTGTATATAAGTAAACAACCTACACTGGTGTATTTAAGTAAACAACATACACTGGTGTATATAAATAAACAACATACACTGGTGTAGTCAAGTAAACAACATACACTGGTGTATATAAATAAACAACATACACTGCTGTAGTTAAGTAAACAACATACACTGGCGTAGTTAAGTAAACAACATACACTGCTGTAGTTAAGTAAACAATATACACTGGCGTAGTTAAGTAAACAATATACACTGGTGTAGTTAAGTAAACAACATACACTGGTGTAGTTAAGTAAACAACATACACTGGCGTAGTTAAGTAAACAATATACACTGGTGTAGTTAAGTAAACAACATACACTGCTGTAGTTAAGTAAACAACATACACTGACGTAGTTAAGTTAACAATATACACTGGTGTAGTTAAGTAAACAACATACACTGGTGTAGTTAAGTAAACAACATACACTGGCGTAGTTAAGTAAACAATATACACTGGTGTAGTTAAGTAAACAACATACACTGGTGTAGTTAAGTAAACAACATACACTGGAGTAGTCAAGTAAACAATATACACTGGTGTAGTTCAGTAAACAACATACACTGGTGTAGTTAGGTAAACAACATACACTGGTGTATATAAATAAACAACATACACTGGTGTAGTTAAGTAAACAACATACACTGGTGTAGTTAAGTAAACAACATACACTGGTGTAGTCAAGTAAACAAAATACACTGGTGTAGTTAAGTAAACAACAAACACTGGTGTAGTTAAGTAAACAACATACACTACTGTAGTTAAGTAAGGAACTTACACTGGTGTAGTCAAGTAAACAACATACACTGGTGTAGTCAAGTAAACAATATACACTGGTGTATATAAATAAACAACATACACTGGTGTAGTTAAGAAAACAACATACACTGGTGTCATTAAGTAAGCAACATACACTGGTGTAGTTAAGTAAACAACATACACTGGGGTAGTTAAGTAAACAACATACATTGGTGTAGTTAAGTAAACAACATACACTGGTGTAGTCAAGTAAACAACATACACTGGTGTAGTTAAGTAAACAACATACATTGGTTTAGTTAAGTAAACAACATACACTGGTGTAGTCAAGTAAACAACATACACTGGTGTAGTTAAGTAAACAACATACACTGGTGTAGTTAAGTAAACAACATACACTACTTTAGTTAAGTAAGCAACTTACACTGGTGTAGTTAAGTAAACAACTTACACCGGTGTAGTTAAGTAAACAACACACACTGGTGTATATAAGTAAACAACATACACTGGTGTAGTTAAGGAAACAACATACACTGGTGTAGTTAAGTAAACAACATACACTGGTGTAGTTAAGTAAACAACATACACTACTGTAGTTAAGTAAGCAACATACACTGGTGTAGTTAAGTAAACAACTTACACTGGTGGAGTTAAGTAAACAATATACACTGGTGTAGTTAAGTAAACAACATACACTGGTGTAGATAAGTAAACAACATACACTGGTGTAGTTAAGTAAAGAATATACACTGGTATAGTTAAGTAAACAACATACACTGGTGTAGTTAAGTAAACAGCATACACTGGTGTAGTTAAGTAAACAACATACACTGGTGTAGTTAAGTAAACAACATACACTGGTGTAGTCAAGTAAACAATATACACTGGTGTAGTTAAGTAAATAATATACACTGGTGTAGTTAAGTAAACAACATACACTGGTGTATATAAATACACAGCATACACTGGTGTAGTTAAACAAACAACATACACTGATGTAGTTAAGTAAACAACATACACTGGTGTAGTCAAGTAAACAACATACACTGGTGTAGTTAAGTAAACAACTTACACTGGTGTAGTTAAGTAAACAACTTACACCGGTGTAGTTAAGTAAACAACACACACTGGTGTATATAAGTAAACAACATACACTGGTGTAGTTAAGGAAACAACATACACTGGTGTAGTTAAGTAAACAACATACACTGGTGTAGTTAAGTAAACAACATACACTACTGTAGTTAAGTAAGCAACATACACTGGTGTAGTTAAGTAAACAACTTACACTGGTGGAGTTAGGGAAACAATATACACTGGTGTAGTTAAGTAAACAACATACACTGGTGTAGATAAGTAAACAACATACACTGGTGGAGTTAAGTAAAGAATATACACTGGTATAGTTAAGTAAACAACATACACTGGTGTAGTTAAGTAAACAGCATACACTGGTGTAGTTAAGTAAACAACATACACTGGTGTAGTTAAGTAAACAACATACACTGGTGTAGTCAAGTAAACAATATACACTGGTGTAGTTAAGTAAATAATATACACTGGTGTAGTTAAGTAAACAACATACACTGGTGTATATAAATACACAGCATACACTGG